AAGAAAACCTCTTGAAATAATTTGCTTGAATAATTACTAATTAAACACGGAGGATGCTTCCAAGGGCCTCAGCAAAGGTTCTAGCTGATAGATAGACTAATAAACCCCAAAGACACAAACTCTCCGTCATCGGGTTGATTCTGACTCAGCGACCAAGTAGGAGGGGATACAATTGCACCCTGGGTTTCCTCAGTGGTAACTGTTTATGGGAGTAGAAAGCCACACCACTCTTCCAAGGAGTGGCTGGTGGATTCGAACTGCTGATCTTGCAGTTAGCTGCACAAAACAGAACCCTTGATACATGTTGGGGTTGTTGATAGGCTGAAAATCTCAAATTTAAACCATCTAATGAATCTGCTCACCTACAATTACGTTATTCATTCCCCAAGAGTGGGCTTCTACAGTCATCATTGTATCAGCTCCCCCTTGCAGTCACCTACAAGGGTAATCAAATAAGAATCTGCTCAGACTTATCAGCACAAACCAGACTGATCAGAAGAGGTGAGAGTGGAGTAGCAATTTCTAGAAGTTGAAAGAGAATAATAGTAACCCAAGAATTCTCTGTCCTGCCAAATTATCCATCAAAATAGAGGGAGAGGGAAGAATTTTCCTGAACAACAACAAAAAATTCTTTCCAACTCACTTTGTGCAGAAGATCAACACCCACAGAGCACAAACATGAGACCACTGCATGGTGTAGCACGACCAGAAATCAACTCAATGAAACCAACACCCAAGACGGCACTGAACCAATGGTGAAAAAGGGCCAAGAATGAATTCCCCCATACACCCAGCACACTGCTAAGGAGGGAGAGACCAGAATATCTGACACAAAAGGTACCAGATGCCTCATTTTTAAAAAGCCTTCACAGTTGTACAGTACACAGTCTTAATGAAATCAATCCCTTAATTAATCTCCCATCCACCCCATCCACCCCACGACTCCTGGGGAAAATAAAACAAAGACCTAGATGTGTGTTGCAAATTAATTGTTAACAGACTCTAGTGACTCCTACTGCCTCTTATCCCTCCTTTGGGGTTTGTTTCTGCTGTTGCTACAAACCACCAAGAGGAGGTACCCTTAGACCTAATTCAATTCTTTTTTTTTAATAATCATTTTATTAGGGGCACATACAGCTCATCACAATCCGTACATACATCATTTGTGTCCAGCACATTAGTACATATGTGGACTTCATCATTCTCACAACACCCGCTTTCCACTTGAGCCCTTGGTGTCAGCTCCTTATTTTTTCCCCTTCCCTCCCACTCCCTCCTCCCCCTGAACCCTTGGTAACATAAATTATTATTATTTTATCATATCTTACACCATCCGACGTCTCCCTCACCCATTTCTCTGCTGTCCATCCCCAAGGGGGGAGGTTATATGTAGACCTTGTCATCTGTTCCCCCTTTCTCCCTCAACTTCCCTCCACTCTCCCGATATCGCCACTCTCTCCACTGGTCCTGAGGGGTTCATCTGCCCTGGATTCACTGTATTTCCAGTTCCTATCTGTGCCAGTGTACATCCTCCGGTCCAGCC